GCTGATGTTACCAGGGGTGCTGCTGATGTTACCAGGGGTGCTGCTGATGTTACCAGGGGTGCTGCTGATGTTACCAGGGGTGCTGCTGATGTTACCAGGGGTGCTGCTGATGTTACCAGGGGTGCTGCTGATGTTACCAGGGGTGCTGCTGATGTTACCAGGGGTGCTGTTGATGTTACCAGGGGTGCTGTTGATGTTACCAGGGGTGCTGTTGATGTTACCAGGGGTGCTGCTGATGCTACCAGGGGTGCTGCTGATGTTACCGGGGGTGCTGCTGATGTTACCAGGGGTGCTGATGTTACCGGAGGCGCAAGCACCAGAGAAGGCAGAAGAACCAATTATCTTCCTGCAGTGACCATGACACCCCCCACCACACGGGATGCTGCTGAGGCTGGTACTCGCAAATCGTCGAGTTCGCTGGTGTCAGGTGCAGATCGAGGAGATGAGAGGAGTGACGTGAGAGTTGGAGTTTCAGCAGCAGTAACAGCTGTGGTGGATGACAGTAGGAATGGGTATGAGAAAGGGAAGATGAGTGTTATTGGGATGTCAGCTGGTGGTGCTGCTATTGGATTGAGTGGTGGTGGTGAGGGTGGAGGAATAGTGGCTAGTGAGGTGGTGCATGATGCAAGAAAGAGGCGATTGGGTCAACATGAGCTATTGCATGAAGAGCGGACAGATGACAGCATTCAAACAGAAGATTGATGGTAATCTGAATTGAGCTTGATTTATTCGTATGAAAAATTGTTGCCATGTAACGAAGCCGTATTATGTTTATATTAGCAGTCTGAATATTGTGATTATTTTTTTCCAGACTGATGGCCAAAATGTGAGGTACTCATGCTTGATAAGAGAAAGATTACAGTAAGATGCGATGTGGTTCTTTAATATCAATGAGGTACAGTTCAAGAAGGTGTGAGTACACTACGGTAATGTGAACATTATTGAACCCCTGAGTTTGCGCTTCACCGGAATGTGTGCCGCAAAGGCGGCTAATGAAAATATATTTCGGGCATAAATGTTTATAGTTAATGAAAACCCCCATTCTTCTTGTTCGTTTTCGCGGTTCTGATCCTCCCCTTCTAAAAGTACGGTACATGTTGGCCCTTACAGATACGAAGGTACCAACGGACAGAAAAGCAGCCCGTTGTAGGTTGCTTCCAAGTGTCTGTCAGCGCACCCACTTCTGATAGTGTAGAAGCGCCAGCAACGACCACGACCAACCTTCCGCTGTTGTTCAAGTCAGAACCCGAGTTATACCCTGTACTGTTTTGAAAGAGGAGGAGAAATACCCGACGCCTGTTGTGAGATATCGCTAAAATCTCCCCCCCCCTCGATCCCAGAAGTCAGTGCTCTGTGAGCAATTATTTCATCCCGCACACACCTTCGAATCTCCGCAATGTGCGCGGCATCCAACAGCAAGCACGCCCCAGCCACCTGTGTGTGCATCTCAGTTCCTAGAAAGGGAATTCCACCCGGGGGGGACTATAAAGCTTTCATTATAACCCGAACAACCCTCACAATAACCTAACGTCGCTTTCTTTTTGAAGTCCTATAGTTGCTCGCCATGGGCGCTCTTCGCTCTATCTTCACGCTCGCCCTTCTTTTCGCGTCTCTGAACCTCCTTTCGGCAGCGGCAGCGCAAGAGGAGCGCGGTGGGTATGCGGAAGGGCCGCGTCGGGCTCTTATGCGTGGCACTACCAGTAAAACAATTGCTACTAACCATGCAGCATTGGCAGACGTGGCACAGCAAGATTCAGCCGCCACTGACGTGATAATCGAGAGTCGCGTTGACACGGCGAAAGACACGCGGCGAGCGGCGCTGCAGGACTCGTTCGCATTCAAGCCTGCAGGCAGTCAACTCGTCTCGCAAATCCGCGATAAAATCTCGAGCGCCCGTGAATGGTGGGGGAAAGTTACTAAGCCGCCACCCCAGCCAGGTTTTGGCTTCCCTAATCGCCCTCCGCTCACCGAGAAGGACCTCAGGAAAAAATATGGGATGCCTTGGTAAGTCGGAAGATGCTCTGGTGAACTCTCGCTCGCTCGTTGGGGAGTGTAGAAGATTCTCTGCTGTGTGATGATGAGACGCCGCTGAATTGCAGTTGAACGGTGCTTTTGGGATGAGTGTGCGTGCGATTGGGGCAGCGGGTAGGAAATGCGTGTGGGAATGCGTGTGCAATGGGTGTGGGGATGTGTGTGGGAATGTGTTTGGGAATGCGTGCAATTGATGTGGGAATACCGTATTTCCGGAAATCCGTGGGGAATCTGCTGGGGAAGGTTTTTTGGAATGGGTGTGGGGTTCAAGTGAAAGTATGAAAGCAGGGGGCTGACTGGGTGGTGAAGGGCAGGAAGTGCTTTATTTCAGTGAGCTGTGCTGTCGTATAGTGCTTGCTGCTCATCTGGCTGCCCTGGAATTAGCTGATTGCGCTGCTTATTTAGTTTCTATGGATTGCCAGGATTTTATCCTGGATGCTGTAGATGGTGCAATGTGTATGCTACCGATATTTCAAGGCTGTGCTGTGCATGTCTTGCATTGTCATGGAAGCAATGAAAGCAATGCACAACGAGACACACTCTGCCAACTCTTGACTTGGGCTCAGCAACACAACATTGACCGCAGTTGGGCTAGTAGATACCACACCCTCCCCTCTCCCCCCACACCCTCCCCCTCCCCCCCCCCCCCCACTTCCCTCCCCTCCTCTTCCCCACCGCCATTCCACCACGCATCATACCAGACAGGTGCTGCCGCTGATGAAATCCATTAAATAGACCCGTCAAGGCAAACATAATATTGCATCCTACCAGCAAACCGTAGCACAGAATTTTGCTATCTACATCGCGGCAATGGTTACGACGATGCTTGTGTACCCTCCTCCTGGCCCGCTGGTTGGTCTCTCAAAACCTTGAAGATCGCACACAGACGTGAAGGCTTGAAAATCTGAACAACAGGGAAAAAAAAGAGGCATTTCATAGTATGAATAGAATGTAGATGTATATGAACTGCAAGATTGGTCCACTAGCATAACCTGGATAAGGTACCTAACCAAAAGCCTGTAGTACAATCCTTGGGCTGTGCCCTGGACCTGGATTCAAACTCTTGGACTGCACACCCGACCTTGCTGTTCAATATTTGTACTTATACCAAAAATTTCTGTACAATATTTGGACTGATACTGGACCTTGCCGTCCAATCCTTCGACTGTACCCCCCTGAGACCCTGACAAACCCGCCCCCTCCCAACGCACCTGTGCTTTGAACATGAAGTTGGGCGGCACGTTGATGATGATGTAGTTATCCTTGTCGTCATTGTACTTCTCCAGCTCCTGTGATTGTGGCGTGCAGGGGCAAGGTAAAGGTCACATGTCAAGTTGCTCCTGTATGTCTATGTGGTTGATGGTTTAGTTGTCCTTGTCCTCATTGTACTTCTCCAACTCCTGTGGCAGCAAGGTTGGGGTTACGGGCAAGGCAGAGAGGAAGTGTTGGCAGGAGGGTTGACAGGCTCGCTGGTTAGGCACGTTGATGATGATGCAGTTGTCCTTGTCCTCATTGTACTTCTCCAACTCCTGTGATTGTTGGGTGGGGGCAAGGGGAAGGTCGCATGGCAATGATCATGTGATTCTCCTCGCCTTTGTTTCAGTTCTCCAGTTCCTGTGGGAGGCATGAGGAAGGCAGGGAGGCAGTGTTGGTTGGCACGAGGGTTGAGAGGCTTGCTAGCACATCACGGCACAGTAATTTGATCATGATGCAGTTCTCCTTGCCCTCGTGGCGTGACTCCAATTGCTGTGACAGGAAGGATGGGGTTACGGGGAGAAGGCAGAGAGCGGAGTGTTGGCACGAAATACACAGGCTTGCTGGCACTGCACGTTGATCATGATGCAGTTCTCCTTGCCCTCGTTGCGTGACTCCAATTCCTGTGACCGCACTGTGAGGTTAGCGGATATGAGAATGCCGCATCTCTCAAGTTACTGCTTTGTTCGGGGTGAAGCCAATGGAGGCACGTTGATGATGTACTACTCTTTCCCGTCCTTCTTGTGGTACTTACCCGAAGCTTGTGTCAGTTTAGGTTGAGGGTAAAGGTAAGGTAGGGACCCATGCACCCATGCACCCATGTACCCATGCACCCATGCACCCATGCGGCCATGCACCCAAGCACCCATGCAGCCATGCGCCCATGCAGTCATGCAGCCATGCACCCATGCACCCATGCACCCATGCAGCCATGCATCCATGCACCCATGCACCCATGCAGCCCAGCAAAGGCACGAGAGCTCTTGTCTTTGTGCCAGTGCCGTCTGGTGAAATGACAGTGTTGACCTGCGTTGACCAGTGATGACGTGAGAGCGTTGACCTGCGTTTTCACACACATACCTGAGGCATGCCGAAGCGCGTGGTGGGGCTCCACGGCACAGGCGTGAAGAGCTCGCCAGTGAACTCCGTCCCCGTGATGCCAGCTGGCACGCCAGGCTGGGTCGCCACCTGGACGAACGGGAATGGCGGGAGGGGGCACGTCAGGGAATCCCAGGGAGAGTCAGCATCGGGTGGAAAGTTTATGACAGCAACGGTTACAGTCACTCGTTTCGGCCATTCTCTGCTCAGAAGATGCAGAGAAAGGGAGTTTTGGGATTGAGGTGACTTTTGAGTCGACTCAAAAGTCACCTCGTTTGTTTCGGCCATTCGCTGCTCAGACGATGCAGAAAAATGGGAGCTTTGAGATTGCCACAGGCGGGAGCAGAGGACTGATAGGCTTTGACAAGGCATATTCTCTTGAAAATCCCATCGACATCCTAGTGCTCTCTCTCAGTGTTTCTTTGCTCGTGGTGCCGGCTCAGCAGCAGCGACCAGCCGACAGAGCGCCCTCCTTGCATCAACAGTGCAATAGAGTGGCTGTTGCGACCCTCACGTCCCCCGCCGACCTGCTACAGCCTGGTCGGCGGCAATGTACCTGCTGCAGGAAAACGTTGGACGAGAGCAGATAGACAAGCAGCTCCTCGCTACAACCCATACGACCCCTGCCATCCTGCTACAGCCCACACGACCCCTGCCATCCTGCTACAGCCCACACGACCCCTGCCATCCTGCTACAGCCCACACGACCCCTGCCATCCTGCTACAGCTCGCACAGGGTGGCGGCAACGCAATGTCATGTCGCGAACGCACCTGCTGCAGGAAGACGTCGGACGAGAGCAGATAGACGAGCACCTCCTTGTTCCCTTTTGACAATCTACAGCCCACACGACCCCTGCCCTCCTGATACAACCCACACGATTCTGCTACAACCCACACAAGTCAGCGGGCACGCACCTGCTGCAGGAAGACATCGGACGAGAGCAGATAGACGAGCACCTCCTTGGCCTGCCAGCGGAACGACACGCGCATGGACGGGGGACGGGCGCACGGCGGATGGGCGCACGGGGATGGGCGCACGGGGGATGGGCGCACGGGGATGGGGGAATGATATGAATGGGAGCATACGAATGGGAACTTGGCGTGTTACGGGGATAGAACACGCTCAACAGCATGGGATTCTAGACAGATGGTACCACCATGGACATAGATAGGCGGTAACACGGGAATCCGTACGTAGCGTGACATGAAAAGTCCGTACGCAGCCACTTCTGAGTTTGCGCAAGTGATCAGAACGGGACTGGACAGCAGCGGCATTGAGAGACGGAATGCAAGAGAGAATGCATGGCGGTTTTCGGGTTTTTTCGAAAGTCCACAAAAAGTTCGATGTGATTTTTGAATCAGGTCAAAGGTCGGAGAACCCACATGTCGAACGAACGTCTTGAAGTGTGATGGAGGATTCAGGCGCGGATTGGTCAACATGTGAGACTCTGGTTATTGATTGGCTAGGTATGACTTGGTGCTATAACTTGGTGCGACGTAATCGGGCTCACCTGAGGGTCCAACTCAAAGCTTGTGTCGAAGCTCTCAACGGCGCGGATGCCTTGTACGACGTGCGAGCATCGTTGGATTTTGCTGCTGACGGTCGATCGTGAGAAGGACGACGCGGGTTGGTTGACGGAAGGCGTAAGCGGTCTAGCGGAAGCGACAATACGCGAGGCGAGGGGACGTCGAGACGGAGAAGAGGAGGAGGATGGGAATGTTGATGATGGAGACGCTAGCAACGACTCGCCGAGAAGCGAGGAGGCGAGAAGCGACTGGGCCATGGTCAAGAGCGAGGCAAGGGAAAGGCTTTAATCTGCAAGGGATGTACAGAAATTACTACGGTATTCACACTCGACGTGGTCGCGCGTGCAGCTCCAGTGTCTGGTTGAGAGCTCTGATAGTGAAGAAACTGCACAAAGAAATGGCTCGAGAGACAATCACAGTCAGCTTTGAGAATGTGTAGGAAGGATCGAAATGGGTGGAAAGGTCAGGGCTAGGCGCATTCGGATCATTGTGAGTTGTTGACCGCTTCCTCTAGTACGATTGGAATGTCAAGATCGGTAGAGCTCGTGTTGATTTATATTAGACATTTATTTCGACTATTGACTGAAATTGTGAGACGAGATGACACCAGAACCTCACCTTTTAGTCAATTTCGTATCTGACACGCAAAATTTCAGCAGCGATGCCCCGTGACCAAGTCCTGAGCATTTTGAACGCGTAGTGAAAGCATCGAGAGAAGCAATGAGCAAGTGCATTCACCATCAGCCACTGAAATCTCCGCAATCTGCTTTTGCAAAACTCTCTGCGGTAATGTCAAGGAGTCCTCACACACGTGGCAATTCAGTGGTTTAGAAACACGCATTGAGCAAGGGTTCTCGCGAGCCCAATTAGGGGCAATCTACATAATAATATACGTAGGAAACGCATGTACAATGTACAAACAAGTGCGTTAATAGATATCGAGGAATCCTAAATCAATAGAAAGGCCATTGTAAACACTGCAATGCTGAGTACCGCTTGTACATTCACATTGAAAACTGGAAAGGGAGGGATGGTGGAGATAAAAATGGAGGAGAGGGCGGAAAAAGAGGGGCAAGCATTATTAACCAAGTCATTTGTAGAACGAAGACATGAAACAATGGGAACTACCGTATGAATTCACAAGCAGACAAGACATGCAAGGAAAAAAATGCAACCAGTACAACACTTTTCATCCTTCAGTCTCCGCATTTCAATGTGCGTGCCTCTCCCCCTGTACCATATGGTCAACCCCTTGCAAATTGTCCATCTCTCCTCACTCTCCCTCTCTGTCCCTCTCCTTCCCCTTTCCCCCTGCTCCCATTCCTGCCAGCAGACCTCTTCCCCAAGGATTGGCAGACTGGTGGGAGGAACAGAACAGGATCAGCCCACTTCCAGTGCCAGCCTGCCATCCCTCTCCCCACATCCTTTTCACCACCCCCTTCAACAGAAGTCCCCACCTCTCCTCCCAGTGTTGGCAGGCCCGTTGGGAGGAAACAGCACGTGGTCAGCGACTTGCACGAATAATCATCCATCCTGCTCTCATCCTTCCTCTCTCCCGTCCTGCCTCTCTATAGTCCGTTTCCGTACCTCTTCCCACAGCATTGGCAGGCCCGGTGGGAGGAACCAGAACATGGCCAGCGCCTTGCACGGCCAGCCTGTCTTCGCTCTCCTGCACCCTTGTCACCACCGCACATACATCTCCTCCCAGAATTCGCAGGTCCAACGGGCGGCAGCAGCACGTGGTCAGCGCCTTGCATGGCCAGCCGCCATCAGCAACGGCATCCTTGAGGGCGGGCAGCACAGTGGTGGCTGCCGTGACAGAGTATGCCGTGTAGGGACTGTCCCTCACAGGCGTGTTGGCGCTGCCACTGCCACTGCTGCTCAAGTCAGCCTCTCTCACTAACTATCTCTACCAGCTTATCTTTTCCTCCAGCATTGGCAGGCCCCGTAGGGGGCAGCAGCACGTGGTCAGCGCCTTGCACGGAGATCCGCTCCGCCCATCAGCAACGGCATCTTTCAGGGCGGGCAGCACAGTGGCAGCGGCAGTGACAGAGTAGGCCGTGTAGGGGCTGTCCCGCACAGACGTGCCGGCGCTGCCAATGCCACTGCCACTGGCACTAGTCCTACACAAAACCCTTCACTAGATCTACTAGCCTACCTTTTCCTCCCGCGTTGGCAGGCCCGGTGGGGCGGAACCAGCACATGATCAGCGCCTTGCACGGCCAGCCGCCCATCAGCAATGGCATCCTTGAGGGGCGGGCAGCACAGTGGCAGCGGCAGTGACAGAGTAGGCGGTGTAGGGGCTGTCCAGCACAGGCGTGTTGGCGTTGGCCGGCACGCGGAACACGAGCGACTTGTCCGACTCTATGTGGATCTGAATGGTTTTGATTCGTGCCCACCCGCGTATATGTGCCCGTGCTGTGGGCCTGTGGGGATAAAAGGGGGGGCGGAAAGGGAACGGGTGGGGCAGGAAGAGGATTTGGATTGGACTTGTCGGATTCTATGTGGATCCGAATGGTCTGATTCGTGCCCACTGCATACACTTGCCCGTGCTATGGCACCTGTGGGTTTTAGAGAAAGAGCAGGGGGGGGTAGAGGGGAAGGGGAGCAGAGAGAGAGGATGGCTGGTTCATGCTCACTTGCGTGTATGTGCCCGTGCTGTGAGTTTTGAGGCGCCTCAAAACTCACCCTGCCGTGCTGTGAGTTTTGAGGCGCCTCAAAACTCACCTCCGTGCTGTGGTAACTCAATGCACAGGGCCACTGTCACTGGCAGAGGCCATGGCTTCCAGTTGGCTCTCCAAATAACATGCTCCGGTGGATGAGGGAATCCAGGGAGTGTTATGGAGCAACTTGTCCAACTCAATGTGGATTTGAATGGTCTGATTCGTGCCCACCGCATATATGTGTGCCCGTGCTGGGGGCCTGTGGGAGAGGGGGGGCGGGGAGTGGGGAGGGA